GGTGACATCCTGATCAGCTGCTTGGGAGATCCTTCTGGCAATGGGAAAGGTATCCATCTCTTTGTTTTTCTAGAAATTATTGCTAGAGGTGTGCCTGACTGCAGGCTCACAGTTTTTTTGGTGCACCCAGCAGTTCCAGCAGTTGTTTGTTGTTGGCAAGCAAAAGAAAACAGAAGTGACTCCTCCAGGATTGCCTCTATAGTACTCCTTAATGGAAAGGTACTTAGGAAGGATAACTGGTGTATCAAAATGCCTTGATTGCCTATAGAGCAAACTGGAGTTTATTTAAAAATGTGATAAAGTTCTTTAAGAATCTTGCTTTAATCTGCTTTGTCCCATGGAAATGATACAAATCGAATCACAACATTTTTCTGAGGCATAAGGTCACATTTTTACAGCGTTTAGCAAATAGATGTCAAATATCGAGATGTTATTGACCTTATTTAACACGTTCCTTCTGCTTCCTGCAGGTGGCTTTGTTTTGCTGGATGGAGAGACCTTTGAAGTGAAGGGGAACTGGGAGAAAGGGGGGAAGTGCCCCCCCTTTGGTTACGACTTCTGGTACCAACCGCGGCACAATGTCCTGATGAGCACCGAGTGGGGAGCCCCCAAAGTCCTGGCATATGGGTTTAACCCAGTGGATGTCGAGAAAGGTGAGGGTTTAACCTCCCTAAAGTAAAAGTGGTTCTTTGTAAAAGCTGGAATAATCCCTTCTGTGCTTATTTTACCTGACCTGACCCACCAGGGCATTACGGCCGCCGCATCAATGTGTGGGACTGGAGCTCCCACACCTACCTTCAGGCAATTGACTTAGGGAAGGACTCCATCCCTCTGGAAATTCGGTTCCTCCACAACCCCGATGCTGCAGAAGGATTTGTTGGATGCTCTCTGGGTGGAACAGTGTATCGCTTCTACAAGACAGAGGTAGTGACAGCCACGGTGACGCTGGTTGTGTTGGAAATCCAATGATCACCTTAGAAACAGTACAGTTCTGATTAAAAAAAATACATCTCCTCATTCCTGTTCAACTCTAGCCAAGCAGTAACGCTGGGCCAGAGAGCAAACCTTCCTACCAGTCCATGCAATGGCTTTCTGAAGCCACCACGTCGTCCTTCCTTGCTGAGCAACCCTATCGTGTCCATCCCTGCCATGCAGACCTCATGGCTGACATCAGGTCAGTAACAATGCTGCATTCGCTCCTCTCTTTCTGCAGAAAGGAGACTGGGCAGCAGAGAAAGTGATTGAAGTACCCAGAAAGAAAGTGCAGGGATGGCTCCTCCCTGACATGCCTGGTGAGTGTGAGCGCGGTGGGAGAAGGAATGGAGCATTCTCCTCTTTGGTTCCATGTTGAAATGCAGCTGTTTGGAAATTCTTATCCTTAAGTAGCAAACACTTCCTTTGTCAAACACTGAACGTCTGTTTGAGTTCTTTGTATGATACTTGAAATATAACCAATTATTCTTCCTTATAAGCCAGCAGGTGGGAGTGGCTGTCAGGGCTCTGCTCCTGCATTGCTCAATGCTGAGGTCCATTTCTCTGGGGAAATAGTTTGAGTCTTTCAACAACAGACAGTCCCATGGAGATTCATCTGCTCAAAGTGTTCAGGAATGGTCCTGGGGATGCAGCTGCAGCCTGAGCATCCACATCCAAGGACGTGTGTGCTTGTTCTGGCCCTGTCCATCTCATGACTCTGCTGCTGAACTTTTATGCAGGTCTCATCACTGACATCCTCATCTCACTGGACGACAGATTTCTCTACTTCAGCAATTGGCTGCACGGTGACATCCGCCAGTACGACATCTCCAACACGCGCCAGCCCAAACTGGTGGGGCAGGTAAGCAGCACCAGAAGAGCCATCCCCATACAGCAGCACAGTCCTATTTCCCCCTTTAATTGCTTTCACCTTCCTTTGGTACCCACACCATTTCTCACTTCTCCCCCCCTTTGGCTGCAGGTGTTCCTGGGAGGCAGCATTGTAAAAGGTGGACCTGTGACTGTGGTGGAAGACAAGGAGCTGCAGTGCCAACCAGAGCCATTTGTGATTAAGGTAAGTTCTCCTGCTGTGCACATTACAATTTGTCACCGCTCTGCTCATTCTGATCCATTTTGAACATCTGCAGTGCAGTCAAACATAGAAAGCAATACATGAGCTATAAAACATGTAAAGCAGTATCTGAGTTGTAAAGCTTATGAAGCAGTTCGTGAGCTAGCTTGTGTCTTGGCTCCCAGCCTGGGCTGCAGGTATCGCATTTCAGCACGAGATGGAGTAAAACCTGGTGAGTGTTCTGGGTCCCTGTGGAGTTGTACAAGCTGTTCAGTTGCTCCGACGCCCATGTAATGACACCTTCCCTGCTGCTGTTAGCTGATTTGAAGCAAATGCAGTGTGTGTTCATCACTCCTCATGATAACCATGCAGCAACCAATGGCCAAAGCACTCCATCAGCTCCTGCTGATCTGCAGTGTTCCTTGTGGGTGGGTGTGTATGTGGGTTCCCAGGTAAAGAGTTCAACAGCACCTGGTGTCATGATAGAAAAATTAAAGAGCATTAATTATCCCTGGTTATCAGCGATTATCAGCATTCGTTGATGTTATCACTGTCAAGGCAACTACTTATGGAACCTCTTATGGGATGCGCAAGAACTGCATATGCTCATCACAGAGATCTGTTGATCTGAAGATGGTTTCAGGCTGAAGATCATTCCAGGAGGTCCCACGTACTCCTTCATTTCATAGTGCAGATTGAAACCCAGCTATGGTGGAGCTGGGATGGCAGCTCTGTCATGCACCCATCCATTGCTTGATTCCTGATGCACCCACCTGAGCACATCAACACCAGCCCTTCACCCCTTATTTTCTTCCTGGTTCCTGGTAGAACTTACCTTCGAGGCTTTGAATAAGGAGTTAGGCTCCCAATAAAGAATACTTTGTCTTCAGGGCAGATCTATTGCTCCTGTGTGCAGGAGTTTTGAGTAATGGATGCTCTTCCAAGCAGCAGAACCACTGCAATGTTTTGTTCTTCTCTGCTGTTGCCCAGCATGCCTGGAGCACTCTGTGCTCTGTTCATTGCAGGGGAAGAGGGTGCCGGGCGGACCACAGATGATTCAGCTCAGTTTGGATGGGAAGAGGCTGTACGTCTCCACCTCTCTTTACAGCGGATGGGACAAACAGTTCTACCCAGATCTTGTCAAGTAAGAAAACCTGGCTGAAAGAGGAAGGCTGAATGACCCCTTGCTCAGTATTCCTTTCTTAAATCAAGGCATGGATGCACCATCGTGGACAGGTTCTGTCTTTGTCACACAAAGACCCAACAACTCCAAGTCCTTCTCTGACGTCTGCTGTGTCCCTTTTCCAGGGAGGGCTCCGTTATGCTGCAGGTCGATGTGGACACTGAAAGAGGTGGATTGAAAGTGAATACAAACTTCCTGGTGGATTTTGGGAAGGAGCCCGATGGGCCGGCGCTGGCTCACGAGATTCGTTACCCTGGTGGTGACAGCACCTCAGACATCTGGATATAAGTGTGTATGGAGCCATTTTCTTGGCTGGCTTGTTGTTATTATTGATTTCTTGGTTGATTCTCTATATTCCTCCCCCTCCTTTCCTGCAGGTGAATCAGTCCAGCGAACCACTTTCTGAATTTCACCTTCCATTGGGGTGAGCCACAGAAGCTCCACTTTATGCACATTCTCTGAGGCAGACGAGTAAACCTGAAACACGTCCTACATCTCTTTTATTTCCTTGATCTTTGCCTTTATAAAGAGCTGTGCAATCACTAACTGCCTGCAGGCCAACCTCACATTTTCTAAGGACTGATTGCTGGGTGGTGGAGGAGCCGCTCCTGGGTGACTCCAGAAGTGAACGTTTCACAGAGTGCCCTTTCCCTGCAAAGCTTAATTTGCTTGTTAAGTAATCAGTGATTTACAGCACAAAATCACACACTGCTAACCCAAAGCCATGTGTTGCTGGAGCTGGGTTATCTTTTAACATTTGTGCACCGATGCTGTATAACAAAGCCAACAATAAAATCATTCTTTGAATCAGGTGGAACTTCACTTTTTTTTTTTTTTTTTCTCTTTAGCACTCCAGCATTATTTTGTTCCAAAGAGCATAAATAATACAAAATAATACAAGATCTCTGCAGGGAGCAGCAGTGTCACCTGTCTGGAAGTCACTCTGTGGGGGATTTCTCATTGCTGCAGCCAGTGTTGATCCCACTGAGCAAAGAAGCACTCAGAAAACGCTCCCGTTGTGCATGGAAGGCACTGATTTGTTAGGAAATCATTTGCTATATTCAGTACTACCGGAGCCCATCTATTTATTTGTTTATTTATTTATTGTTTCAACTATTTCCAAATGCATGACCAATTTCTGAACGTGGTGATCCCCCCCCGCGGCCACACGAGGGCAGATTGCAACCTGCATTGCGTTGCAGCACATCCATCCGTGCGGTACAAACGTGCAGCACATTAAGTCCCCAAATAGAAAAACTAGAGAAGGAAGAGAAAAGCAAAGGAGAAGAGGTGACCGAGATTAAAATAATTCATTGCTTCCCAGCAACTGCGAATCTGGATGCTGAGATAGGTGAGCAGTGAGGGGAGTGCTTCTCGTGATTCCAGGAGGAAAGCCGATGGGTCTCACTGCACTGATGGGATCTGTCCCCATAGCAGATTGGACCAGGTGAGAAGGAGAACATCCACCCTGTAGAGCTGAGGAGGATTGGAGAGGGCTCCCATCCTTGGAGGAGTTCTTGCTTGGGTGCTTTGAGCAGCAACAATGTCCTTGGTGAAGCAAGGTCTTCTCCCAACACCCTCAGTGTGCTGTGCTGGTGAGCACCAGATTGCATCACCTCCCCATGCCCATTATCCAGATTACAGCATGTTCTTCCTTATCAGGGTAGGAAGTGATGGGCAGGAGAAGGGAAGCAGCTGCCACCTTGCTGTGGGCTGTCTTGAGAAGCCCTGATTGCTCTCCATGTTGTGGCTTGCCATCTCTGCTGGCCACAGGGAGCTTTTCTTGGTTCCATGACAGCTCACACCGATGCTGCTCTCCACTAACCATTGCTTTCTTGCTCATTGGTGTTGCTGAGCCTGCTCTTCCCCTTCCTCCTATCAGGTTTAATTAGAAAATTCTACGCCCATAGCTTGGTTTTGTGAGGGATGCCAAAGACGTCACCAAGGAAAGCCAAATGGGATGACCAGAAAATTTTATTAATGCATAGGAGACTAATGATCTTTCTAATTAGCAGTTATTCCAGTGCAAGAAGAAGGTGCAGTGAGGCATGCAGCAAAAGCATGCTGTCAGGGGCCACAACTGACCCCTGAAACTGCCTCTGATGGAGCAGGAGCTTCTTGTGCAGGGCTGTGCTTCATGCCATCCAGGCCAACACTGACCATAGTGAGCCAGGTTCAAGACCTGAGCCTTTGCTTCTGCACTTGGGACACAACCCCCTGCATCTATATGGCAGAGGGGCAGAGTGTATGAAAGCAACACAGAGGAGAAGGACGTGGAGGTGCTAGCTGGCAACTGGGTGAACATGAACCAGCAGTGTGCTCACACGGCCAAGGATTCCAAGGGCATCAGGGCTGATATCAGAAATAGTGCAGCCAGCAGCAGCAGGAGGTGATCATCCCATTGGAGTCAGACTCTGTCCCCAGGTAATAGAGGACGAGAGGTGATGGCCTCAAGTTGCACCAGGAGAGGTCCAGCTTTTCATATTTGGAAAAACTTCTCTGAAAGAGTGGCGATGCATTGGCACAGGCAGCCCAGAGAGGGGATGGAGTCACTGTTCCTGGAGTTGCTCAAGGTGCAGCTGTTGCATGGTACTGGATTGGCCCAGAGCTTCATGGCTTCATCTCAGCCCTCAGACAGAGACGTGCTGTGTGTCAGGGTCCAGATTTCGGTGGCCTTGTTGAGCTCCAAGCACTGGAGACAGCGCTGAAGTAGACTGGCCAATGCCTGTCACTCAGAGCAAGTGGACATGGAGTCACCTCTGCCATACATTTTCCATGGCACTGGTCTGCTTCAGAGATGTAGGGAGAGGAAGAGGCTGCTGTTGCAGAGCTGCTACGTTATGCTGGATTGCCCCAGAGCTTCATGGCTTCATCTCAGCCCTCAGACAGAGACGTGCTGTGTGTCAGGGTCCAGATTTCGGTGGCCTTGCTGAGCTCAAGGCTCTTAAATTCCAGAAGCTTCTGGTGGGGCAATTATCTAGATGGGCTTCTCATCCCTCACATGGAATTTGCAGGCTCTGCACATTGGTATGGCAAGAACCCGGGGATGGGGGACAGCATTAATTAGCTGATGTCCTGCCTGGGCCATGGAGGCCAGCAGAGCCTGGCCAAGTCCCACTGGGGATGAGCAGAGCCCCACAATCTGATAGCGTGGCTTGTGCTTGAGGAAAGGAGCTGCATGGAACAGCAGATTTTTCCTCTAGATTGCTGGGTAGCAAGGCGGAAACAAGCCACAGTGCTGGTCTGGCACCTCCCAACGCTTGGGAGCGTTCGCTCCTCCCTTGGCAGATTGTTTGCTGCCCCCCACCCCTCTGCCGTGTATATAAGGCCCCTCAGAGCCCTGCCACTACACATCCACTCCAGCGAGGCAGACAGCAAGCTGCTCCTTCAGCTCCAGCACCTCTGTCTTGGCGAGAGTCAACCAGAAGGCCTTCAGCATGGGTAAGGAACGCTCTGCAGCCTCCCTTAGCACTGTTTCCAGGGGCCTCTTTGTGCTTCGAAAATTGATTTCCCACATTTGGCTGTGGGATCTGTGCTCCCCTTCTGCTGGAGAATTGCTACAAGAGAAGCTGGAGTTATTTTCCTTGCTAGAGCTTCAATGCTGACATGGTTGTCCATGTCAACTCCCTCTCCATCGCTGCTGATGGACCCAGGATGAGTGCAGGATGCAGAAGGGAATGGAGCAGGGCTCTGATCTGTGATACCCCATGGTCGTGGTCTAGTGGGCATGGGAGTGATGGGTCAGAGGTTGAACTTGATGGTCTCAGTGTCTTTTCCAGCCTCAAAGATTCCATGGTGCCCAGTGGCACCTGGAGGAGGATTCCTCTCCTGTACCTGAGATCTGTCAGGGCCACCACAAATGGAGCTGCTGGTCATGGAGTCCTTGTTGGCAGCCAGGGTGGGAGAAGTCTATTGAGTGGGACAGTCTTCTGCATAGGCAGCACTGAAGGATGTGGACATTTCCCATTTCGTTCTTTTCTTTTTCTCACCTCAGACAGATGCAGAGTTCAGTGCTACGAGTACCCCAGCTGCCCTGACGTTGTGAAACCCAAGTGCTATCAGGCATGCTCTGAAGGTGAATCTTTGCAAAGGAGCTCTGCCTTTGCTTCTAGCTGTATCTGAGAGTCTCCTGAAGCTATTATTTGCCTTTATTGTTATTTCATTGCGTGTTCTAACTCAAGATTTCCATGTTCTTAGCTCCCAGAGAGGAGGTTGCATACGTGACATGTACTTACAGAGAAACAGGCATTGACCAACCTGACTTCCTGGCCACCATCGATCTCAACCCCAGATCTCCATATTACTGCCAGGTCAGCACCTACCTGTCTCTGATGGCCGCTAATGCAGATTGACCACATCTATTGCACTTCTTTGAAATGATTCCTTACTCTAAAGCTTTGATCCTTCCACTTCTAAGTTGTTGATTGCATGAAGGTACCTTTTTCCACCCCATCTCCTCGACTAAACCCTGACTCTACCTTTGGCTGCCCAGGTGATCCACCGCCTGCCCGTGCCCAACCTCAAAGATGAGCTGCACTGTTCTGGGTGGAGCACAGACCGCAGTAGCAGCATCTGCTTTGACAATATCACAACGAAAAAGAACAAGCTGATCCTCCCTGGTCTGATTTCTTCTCGTATTTATGTGGTGGATGTGGGTACACAGTGCCGGGCTCCCACAGTGTGTAAGGTATGAACACAGCATAGTAGGTCTAACTTCTTAGTAGGAAAGCTCCTGCAATCACCAGGTCTTTTTAGACAGCTCCAACAACGGCAGGCTCTGCCATGTAGTGTGGAATGAACTGATCAACCAAGAGACTTATCTGTGTGCATACCTGCTTCTTCCAGATGATTGAGCCAGTGGATGTCTTCTGGAAGTGCAACAAGGGCCACCTTAGTGTAGTTCACAGCCTGCCTAACGGTGACATTCTGATCGCCAACATGGGGGATGCAGCTGGCCGTGGGAAAGGTACTGCCTTGCTGTAACAAGTCCGGGAATATTTCTGGTTGGGAGGAAGAACATCTGGTGAGCTCAGCCAACATGGGTGTCTAGATCACTGCATGCACACTAACACAAAGAATTGCGATCTGAAGATGGGATCAAATATTAGTTCAGAAAATTCTGCACAGCACAGATGGAAAGCTGTAATACACGTGGTCTAATACAAAACAAAAAGCTGTAGAATCTTCACAGCTGAGAATCTTAAGGCAGAAAGCATTCAGAGGAGATTGGTCATTGGAGTTACCACCCATCCTTCCCATTTAGAACTGATCTGTTGTGCTTCCCTCTGGTGCCACAGGTGGATTTATTGTGCTGGACGGAGAGACCTTTGAGCTGAAGGGTAACTGGGAACACGAGTGCGAGGTTCCCCCAACAGGTTATGACTTCTGGTACCAGCCACGCCACAACGTTCTCATCAGCACGGCCGGGATGGTGCCAAGAATTGCGGGACGTGGATTTAACCCGGATGATCTGAAGAAAGGTGAGGGAACACGGATGCAGGCGCTGGGCCAGAGCTCAGCAGGCTCATGGCCGGATGCAGACAAACTCACAGTATGGGTAGCAGATGGAGAAAGGGGACAGGCGGAGCGTGTGCAGGTTCACCCATCTCCAGGGCTGCCCTCCCCTCCTGACTCACTTCTCCTTCTCCTCCTCCTCAGGGGTCTTCGGGCGCCGCCTGAATGTGTGGAATCTGTCCTGCCGTACCCTCACGCAGTGCTTTGACCTGGGGGAGGATTCCTTGCCCCTGAGCGTGAAGTTCCTCCACAATCCCGATGCTGCCGAGGGCTACGTCAGCTGTGCCCTGAGCGGCATCATCTACCGCTTCTACAAGTGCGAGGCAAGTGCTGGGCCTGCAGCCCCGGGGCCCCG